CATAATTTACTTTAACAATTGCAAAAAGGAACGTTTTTATAAAAAAAGGAAATTGTAAAATAAGTTTAGCCTAAAACTAAATATTTTTAAGATCAATTCGAATAGGTACCTAAATCTACTTTTTATTGTAATGAATTTGTTGTTCAATTTTCCTTATTTTTAATTTTCTTATATTAGGAGTTTCCACAACAAATTATTTAAAAGGATGGACACATCTTCTTTTTGGTTTCCACTTGAGAGCGTAGTCACTTTCTGCGTTTTGAACACGTCCTTGTTAAGTTAGGAAATGTTTCATGAGTAGTACACATAAAGTCAAAAGAAATAACCGAATAATAGTGTAGCAGTTAGACGTTGCTCAGGTGCACAAAAGATTAGGGTCGGCTTTATAATCTTTATATCATTAAACAAGAATCTTTGCTTTCTTAAATTCCTGAGAATGTTGAACTTTCTTTAAAGTCCTATGCTGGCAACATGCTCAAATCCTGCCTGTCTGTATCTCTTTCTGTTACATATTAACTAGTGTAATGTTATTCCTTTTTCTTTATTAGTGTCCGCTGCAATTTCTACCTGACATCTCTTTTCAATGTTTACGATATTCCCTACAACGTCTGTCGTAAGTAAAAGTAGGCGTTCTAAAATCCGGTGCTGGCAACATGCTCAAATCCTGCTTGTCTGTATCTCTTTCTGTTACATATTAACTAGTGTAAGGTATTTCTTTTTCTTTATTAGTGTCCGCTGCAATTTCTACCTGACATCTCTTTTCAATGTTTACGATATTCCCTACAACGCCTGTCGTGAGTAGGCGTTTTGTCATCAACGGCTTCAGTATAGTTAGCAAGTTGAAAGAAGAAAGTAAATGCGGCAGTTTTATTGGGGACTATGCCAATTTTGAACGTCCCAATTATACCTCTCAAAAGCTAAATTGTATTTATTGGACTTATATAACTTTTTTAGATATTTACTAGCTGGACCTACGCCTTCGCTCGTTTGGGATCTTGTTTCATACCATAAAAGCCATATTTTATCATGTCTTTGCGGAGTCTTTTACATGTCCTTTTAAGCTCTACAACTTTTATCGTAAGATACACATTCGCTCGACCGTCTTTTCGTCGATTTGTATTTCAAAATTGGTCACCACGAAAAGTTCTGACAGAATAACATTCTACAGCCTATATCCCTCCTGAAGGTCCATTCTAAATATTGGTGAAAGGATTTTTGAAATCGCATGATTAGTTTCCGAGATTACTAGCTACATCCAAACTTGCAAACTTACAAACTTTGCCTCTTTGTAATATTAGTGTAGATATCAAAAGATGGCTGAAAAGGTATATAACATATACTTACTACTACTTCTCTGCTTTTTAGGAGTAGGTATTTAAGTATTTAACACCTTCTGTTACATCTTTCTTCGTTGTTTAAAACTGCTGTTTCTTAAAGCTCGTTTTGGCTTACCCAGTAGTTTAAATGATGACTAAAAGGTGAACGGGATGATAATGCATCCGAGAATAAATCCATTGCAATATGTGTCCGTCAACATTATTGATTGACGATTTTTCGATATACGAGGGTGGATTGATAAGTTTCCGGCCTGACCAAGAAAAACAAGGTTTTTAAAAATTTTTTTTTTTTATTTCTCAACATAATCTCCTCCAAGGCTGATACATTTCTCATAGCGGTGTTCCAGTCTATTAATGCCATCTCTATAGACTGATTCGTCAAGCTCCTCAAAATAACCATTTACAGCTTCGATTACTTCTTCATTGTCCGCAAATCTCTTACCGCCAAGCCATTTTTTGAGATTAGGGAACAGAAAATAGTCACTCGGGGCTAGGTCTGGAGAGTAAGGAGGGTGCGGCATCAATTCAAACTTTAGATCGTTGATTTTAGCCGTCGCAACGATTGACGTGTGCGCTGGTGCGTTATCGTGATGAAACAAGATTTTTTTCTTCGCCAGATGAGGTCGTTTAATTTTCACCTCGTGGCTCAAACGTTGCAATAAGTCTGCGTAGTATTGACCAGTGATAGTATTACCCTTTGCAAGGTAATCAATGTATATAATACCTCTTGCATCCCAAAAAACAGTAGCCATAACCTTGTTCGCCGAAAAAATTGTTTTTGCCTTCTTTGGAGTTGGTTCCCCTGGTCCAATCCACTGTTTAGACTGTTCTTTGGTTTCAGGAGTGTAGTGGTGGACCCACGTTTCGTCAACGGTTACGAATCGACGCAAAAATTCGCTTGGATTACGCTTATACAATGACAAATTTGCGGTAGAAATGTTTTTTCGAATCAATTTTTGGTCGACTGTTAGCAAACGCGGCACCCATCTTGCACAGAGCTTTTCCATATGCAAATGTTGGTGCAAAATATGTTGCACACGTTCATATGACATCTTACAGGTCTCAGCTATCTCACGCACTTTCAATCTGCGGTCTCCCAGCACTATTTGATGAATTTTTTCGATCATATCTGGAGTTGTGACCTCAACGGGGCGTCCTGAGCGAGGCCCATCAGAGGTGCTCACACGACCCTTTTTAAACTCGGAAACCCACTGCTTAACGGTTGAATATGACGGGGAGGATGTCCCCAGTGTTGAGTCCATCTCTTTTTTAATTTCCTTCGGCGTTAACCCCTTCAAATAAAAGTATTTGATGACAGCACGATTTTCCTGCTTTTCCATTTTTACGAAAACCACAGAGGCGTCTTGTTCAGCGTGCTGTCAAACCTACACTAGCAAGGAGATCGGGCTGAAACTATAGCTACAAGCTATCCAAGGATGGTACTATAGAATGTCACCTCAAGGTAGGCCTAGTGGCGTCATCTCTTGGTTAGGCCGGAAACTTATCAATCCACCCTCGTATAACGTATGGAAACTACTTCAGACTGTTTCTATTGTATTAATCTTGGTACTAAGATAAATGAATCGATGAACCGTAAGGAAATTTATAAAAGTTACCCGGAAACAGATGTTGCCCTACTTATACAAACTAGCTATATGAAAATATTTGAGCAGTTGTATATGACATGCGAAATAGAAGAGCATTTTGACGTTGTCCACGCAAATGTATGAACCTTTTATTAAATTTATTTTGCATCTAGAGCATAAACGGCTTGCACATATTACCCCCCGATTGGTTAATTTACACGTGCATGCTCGTGCATTTGCTTATGTTGGTGACCTTTGGTTTTGAATTCACTTTAGATGTTTAATTTGGTGTATGGTATATGCAAATGGTAAGTAAAAGTAGAGAAACAGTTAATATATAGAAAAAGGATGTTTTAGTTTCTTCCGGGTTGTTTTGCTGTTTGGGTGTTGCAGACGTTTCGCCGTATTTTTCTGACGGCATCTTCAGTAGTGACTTGGAGGCCGCTGATGCGGTTTGTGATCGTGATACCATTTTTATATGGGAGTCATCACAGCGAATGGGTTTGAAATGGTCTAAAAATTCATTCAGCTTGCCTTCTCTTTGTGACCAGACGACCAAAGTGTCATGCACAAACCAATACCAGTGAATTGGTTTATATTGTTTCTTTTCTATAAGGCTGTTGTCTCAAAATGCTAAATGTAGAAATTAGCGATTAATGGACTAAGAAGACTTCCTATCGCTACCCCGTCGATTTGTTTGTAAAAGTGGTTATTCCATTATGATTTACGAAGTAGCTGAAAGTCAGTCAGTATTAGAATATACTGCTACCCCGTCTTCTGGAAATTGCGTCCACAGTAATTATCCTTCACTGGTACTTTGCTGAATAATGACTCCACAATTCCAATAAATAAAGCTTGGAAACCTATAATGAAAAACAAAGAGAATGCAAAGATACAAAAAGTATTTCAGTCGTAAACCACAACAGTCATGACCCAACAACCGCCAAGTCACAACTGAAGATGCCGTCAGCGAAGAACGGTGAAACGTATGGAGCATCAAAACTCCATGGACCACAGTAAAACAGCCAGGAGGAAACCACCGCATGCTTGTACACCGACTATGAAAGCCTAAAGACAACATAAAAAAAAGTCCAAAATCGCTGATTTTCGATATCCAGGAAATCAGATAGCTCCTGGTGCGAAACGTGGACAACGGGCATAACGAAAAGGAAAATGCTAGATAGGTGAATAATGAATATATTACGCATAGGCACAAAACGTTAAGATTGAAAACGTATTAGTAATAGAAGGAATATAAAAAGCTCTATGAAAGCCAGTGAGCAGATAGGGTGGTGCAGCACCTTCTGCGACATAAACGGTTAGTTAGAGACCCTAGAAGCAGTAAAAGGAATAAAGAGGATCGGTAGACCTAAACGAGATGTACACAAATACTTAGGAATATGGGATATTAAAGCTATAGGGAAACGTCAAGATTAGCTCAGGATAGAAAAGAGTGAAGATGCATCTCCAGCCTGCATTCTCATCAACAACTACATCATAATGATACATACTTGGATTCAGTTTATAATAATATATTTTAATATTTGAGATATTCTTTAGTCTTACTGTTCATTTATGATGCACATATTATGCATATATATAAAAAAACGAAGGGCTTTTTTAATTTCTGAAAAAATTACTTTCTTTTCGCTATGTAGTAACATTTGGGAATCTACATCTTTATCGTATTTTTTTTTGCAATGCAGTAGTTAGCTAAACCAATTTAGGAATGTAATTGTGAATGTGATTTACTTATAATTGACTACTTTTATGTTCATCAAGAATGTCTTTCTTTTGTGAAACAGACATACCAAGTTTTATTCTGTTATTTAGTTTCTTACTTACTAATATTATACATATTATATTGTGCCATTAGTTATGTGTTGTAAATTTCAAAAATATTTTCCCAAAACATTTATGAACCTTAAGTGAGTGGTGATCCTATTACTGCATTCAGTTATTAATTTCTTTATTGTGAACCGCACTTTTACTGCGGGAGAACAAAAAGAATGACATCTATTCGCAATTCACATCTATTGGTGTGGTAATATGACGAAATGTTCACGCGTTAGGCGTTCTTTCGGTCGAGTCGCAGTAAAGTTTCGTTTGATCGGGTAGTAATTACCGTTTATAATGTGTTGTATGTGCTTTTGTGGTTAATATATTACGATAAAGTATTACCTAATAAGTAGTAGGATAAACCGAAAAGAACGCCTTTGCGATGAATGACAATAGACAAATGACTCTTTACCAAGATCAGTTCTGTGTGTGGTATCCTGTAAGACATTTAAAGCCTACAGTAGTGGTAAGTTTATTTTATCCTATCGAAATTACTAAAATCTTTCCTTTAATATCTATTTGTGCAATCTGATCTGCCGTTGGGTAAAACGGTGTGAGAAATTTTTACGTTCTAATTAGTAAGATTTGGTAAAAGTATGTATTATCGAATTGATGATAAAGTTGTTAATGGTATTACTGCAATGTAATAAAATGTACGTAATGTATTTCACAAATGTACCTAACAGAACGTTAAAAATAACGATGATCTCATTCTGTACATTTATATAATTTTCCATAGAAGTAGCCTTTGGAAGTTTGTGGCAATGCTAAGAGTTACGAAATTTGTGCTATTCCCTGATAGGTGGCAGTAGGCGCATTAAAATAAGTGGGTGACGGTGGAGATTAGCGTACACCTGTCCGATTTTTTGTAAATTTTAGTATCTTGTACTATTTGCCATGCTGACTAAAAATATACACATGCTGGGCGCGGAAACCACGTCTTCAACTACTTTTTCAGATTTAAAGAATTAAAAACTACGACGAACTGCAAATCCTTTAAGCAAGGTTAGGTAAATAGGGGGAGGGTTAAATAACCCTTCTCCTCCTCCTACCCTCGAAATGTTTTCATGATGGAAAATCATTCAAGTAAAGTTAATACAGAGTTTAAAGAACCCCCTTCCCCTCGCACTATTGTTCTCCAATTGTATTGGATTCTACAAGATCTAAGGCTATACTGAAGAAGGTTGAGGGGGGATTCTCCAAAAATTTGTCGCTCCAACTGGTTATCGAAAAGTAAACAAAATGCCAGCCCGATATGGAGCTGGTTCTACACATAGCATATGTCTAAATTAAAATGGCGTATAAAAATACCATAAGGCTAATAATTTGTCGCCGAAAGATGGTACTTTTATGCATCTTGTACTTAAAATTCTATCCTCCAGCTGTCCAGCGAAAAACAACTGGAGGTCCGTCAACCGGCTGGAAGGACAAATTTTTGAAATTTGGTAACAAAAGACCGAGAAATTATGGCCGTTACGGTACATTTCTACGTTATTTCTATTTCAAGGTACACATTGTACAATATCGTCGGCGTCATGATTCTGCAGTCTTTTTTCGCTGGACAGCTGTAGGGTAGACTAATCACAAAATGGACAAAAGTAACATCTTTCAGCGATAAATTAGCCTTGCAGTACTTTGGTTAGCATTTCGATTATTTTTCGGTAATCGGCTGTAACGACAAATTTTTGGATTTAATAACAAATTTAATGACAAATCAAATTATGGTACATTTAGAATAAATCCCAACGTTTCACCCTTTAATTTGGGACTTCTTCAAGTGTAATTGTAATGTTATTTATCCTTACTAAGAAGGAAGTTTGCAACTGTCAGGATAAAGAACGTTACAATTACCCTTGAAGAAGTCCCAAAGTAAGGGGTAAAACGTTGGGAATAAATAAATAGCTTTATTACTTGAAGGAGTTTAGATTGGTTGTTCTCTAAAAATTATTATTAGGGATAAAACTAAAAAATATCACAGGAGCTAGTTATACAAAAGTCACACGACCAAATGGATGTCATCATTATCTATTCTTTGGTACCACCTTAATAAAACGATGAGGACGACATACCATTAGGGAGGATTAAAGTTTCGGAAATAAATACGTGATAATAACGGCGTTGAATGGGGTGATGAAGAGTTGGCGATTTCGCAATTTATGACTGCAGTATTTCAGGAAAATCGCCTTGGCGCTTCTAAAACAGCAGCATTGGCAGAGTATGTGGGCCAGTATACAGCCCCGGGCCGTTTTAGCGCTGTTAATCGAGTGCATTAACCACATTACCGGTGATGAATTCGTTAGGAATGGCGGAATGGCGCGCAGAGATAATGCTATTATATTTTCGTCACGTATTTTGTGCTGCAGTTAGTGTAAATGCAGATTAAGAAAGTTGTCTGTTAAAATATCAGTACGTTTAAAAACTTTAAGTACACCATGATAGGCAAAAGAAATTTTCAAAATAGATCCATTTTAAATTATTAATAGGCAGTAGCGGTGCGCGAGCATTGATTTTGTTCCTACAGAGTTCCAAGTCCTTTTTGCAAGTATAACTATGAAATGATAAAGATAAGTTTAATTGATTCACAAATTACAATTAGTTTAAAATAATTCGAAGGTGTCTGTATTTTATTCGATTAAGCTAACGTGCCTATCACGTTGAGGTTGGCTAAGCCGGGATTCGTTTTCAGCAAGTAGATATCCACACATGTGGACCTTGTTGGAGCATACGTACCTAATCTTAAAATGTAGCATCGTGCTACAGATGGCGTTTACTGCGCCATTTGTAGTATTTTCTACAATTAGTTTTGTAATAACTTTTCATTAATTCAGTAAGATTTGGAAGCTTTAAGTGTTTTATGTCGAGTTTCTTACTATATCAGTGACGGGGTATGCTTTTCATCTCCTCTACGTTCCTCTTCCTAGTATGTGTGCCAGACTCATGCCTTTTCACGGAAATAACTACTCGGTTTTCAGTAGGTACAAAGCCTAATGAGCAATTGTCGAAAATATGTTCCATTTTGCAATATGTTCCAGTTGATTTACACATTTCGCAAACTGAGTAATTCGTAGTTGCCCAAATTCCGAATATAAATATACCATCTTATAAACCAGTGGTTGGACCTTGTTCCCTTAGCAGCATTCTGTCTGACTGTTGAAACATTTTCCGCAGTTATAAATTCATTTTGAGACAACTATAAGGAAGATTCTTATTTAAATATACCAGCATATTACAAAAAAATGAAAATGTTTTTGTGCTAACTGTCCTCAAACGTGGATGGTGAGTGCAACGGAAAAAAGGTAAAAACGTTTGAAATGTGGTCTTATAGGATAGAATGATGAAGATACCGTGGATAGAGGTTAGAAATGAGGGGGTATTAGAAACAGTAGGAGAACAGAGGAAAGGAACTCAATAAGAAATAGGCGGGATAAGTTGGCAGGACATCTTCTCAGGCATGTGGGGTTAGTTAAAAACACATCAAAAGCAGAAATAGTAGTTAATAGGAGTAGAGGTAGGCCTAGATTAGATTACTGTTCAGAAATTTTTAAGGAAATGGGATGTTCTAGTATTAGGGAAATGCAATGTTTAGCTCAGGGTAGAAAAGAGTGGAGGTTCAACCAGTCACCACCCCATGATCATGTTGATGATGATTATAATGGCCAAAGTAGTGAAAATTAATATATTAAAAGCATACGTTATTTATGTAATCATATACTCAAAAATTAACTGTTGAAACTATGAGTGAAACTTAACTTTGATTTTACAACAATATTCTTGCGAATAGGTGTATGTAAAATATTGTCTGTTTTATTAATGAATTTGTAGTTATGGGTTCAAAAAAATGTCTAGAGTGAATCTAAATGTAATATCGAGTTATTTAATTTTACATTCGGTCAGCGGAGTTATGCATGATTTATTTCGAAAGAGGCCCGCAACATTGTTTGGGTTGGCCACCCCTTAGTTAGTGTGTAGTATGATAAAACTTGTACATTGAAGAGAAATAGTGAATAATACAGTTGGAAGGATATTTAATCTATTCTATTAAAATCAAGGAAATAAAAAAATATTGATAAACAAGTCTTAAAAGCACTTTCATACAAAATTGCAGTGAACTTTAAAATTTTGCGTGTACTACGAGGGTGGATTGATAAGTTTCCGGCCTAACCAAGAGATGACGCCACTAGGCCTACCTTGAGGTGACATTCTATAGTACCATCCTTGGATAGCTTGTAGCTATAGTTTCAGCCCGATCTCCTTGCTAGTGTAGGTTTGACAGCACGCTGAACAAGACGCCTCTGTGGTTTTCGTAAAAATGGAAAAGCAGGAAAATCGTGCTGTCATCAAATACTTTTATTTGAAGGGGTTAACGCCGAAGGAAATTAAAAAAGAGATGGACTCAACACTGGGGACATCCTCCCCGTCATATTCAACCGTTAAGCAGTGGGTTTCCGAGTTTAAAAAGGGTCGTGTGAGCACCTCTGATGGGCCTCGCTCAGGACGCCCCGTTGAGGTCACAACTCCAGATATGATCGAAAAAATTCATCAAATAGTGCTGGGAGACCGCAGATTGAAAGTGCGTGAGATAGCTGAGACCTGTAAGATGTCATATGAACGTGTGCAACATATTTTGCACCAACATTTGCATATGGAAAAGCTCTGTGCAAGATGGGTGCCGCGTTTGCTAACAGTCGACCAAAAATTGATTCGAAAAAACATTTCTACCGCAAATTTGTCATTGTATAAGCGTAATCCAAGCGAATTTTTGCGTCGATTCGTAACCGTTGACGAAACGTGGGTCCACCACTACACTCCTGAAACCAAAGAACAGTCTAAACAGTGGATTGGACCAGGGGAACCAACTCCAAAGAAGGCAAAAACAATTTTTTCGGCGAACAAGGTTATGGCTACTGTTTTTTGGGATGCAAGAGGTATTATATACATTGATTACCTTGCAAAGGGTAATACTATCACTGGTCAATACTACGCAGACTTATTGCAACGTTTGAGCCACGAGGTGAAAATTAAACGACCTCATCTGGCGAAGAAAAAAATCTTGTTTCATCACGATAACGCACCAGCGCACACGTCAATCGTTGCGACGGCTAAAATCAACGATCTAAAGTTTGAATTGATGCCGCACCCTCCTTACTCTCCAGACCTAGCCCCGAGTGACTATTTTCTGTTCCCTAATCTCAAAAAATGGCTTGGCGGTAAGAGATTTGCGGACAATGAAGAAGTAATCGAAGCTGTAAATGGTTATTTTGAGGAGCTTGACGAATCAGTCTATAGAGATGGCATTAATAGACTGGAACACCGCTATGAGAAATGTATCAGCCTTGGAGGAGATTATGTTGAGAAATAAAAAAAAAAAATTTTTAAAAACCTTGTTTTTCTTGGTCAGGCCGGAAACTTATCAATCCACCCTCGTAAAACACAATTTTTACAAATACATTATTTTGGTTTTTATGC